GTATCAAGCCATACATACTTACATACATACATACATACATACATACATACATACATACATACATACATACATACATACATACATACATACATACATACATACATACATACATACATACATACATACATACATACATACATACATACATACATACATACATACATACATACATACATACATACATACATACATACATACATACATACATACATACATACATACATACATACATACATACATACATATATACATACATACATACATACATACATACATACATACATACATACATACATACATACATACAGATACAAAAATTATACAAAATTAACTTCCTCTTTATTGTTATTTATCACCGTAGACTGAGTTTTTTTTGCTTTTTGGTTCTTTTTCTCAAAGAAATTTTTTCTAAAAACTTTGCACAAAGGAGGAGTTGTTTGTATGTTTGTATATATTTAAGTATGTTTGTATTTTTGTACGTTTTTGTTTGTTTGTTTGTTTGTCTGCATGGTTGTTTGTTAATGTGCATATTTTTTTTGTTCGGTTGTTGTTCTGTCAGCGTCTTTAATTGCTCATTAACTAATTCCTTCATTCATTCAATTGTTCGTTCTTATGTTAATTAATTAATTAATTAATTCATTCATTCATTCATTTATTCATTCACTCATTCATTCACTCATTCATGACATCTTCATCATCGTTGTGATAGTCATCGTCATTAAACATCCCACGTCCACTGTTTAATATTTACGTTTGTCAGAATCCTTAAACATTCAAGGTTGCATGAAGTAAACACACGCACACGTGCGCACACACGCACACACGCACACACACGCACACACACGCACACATACACACATGAAATGAAATGATCTTTTATTCAATCCCAAATAAATTGAAAAAAATTTGTAGGATGATTGAGATAGAGCGCCAAGTTTATCGAGACTTTTTAGAAAAGCTAATTTAAATGTAAGTAATTTTAAACAGAAACCGTACAATGAAACTGTGAAAAACATACGGACACACACACAGGCAAACACATACATACACATACACACATACCTACACGAACATACACACACACACACATACCGACACACACACACACAGGCAAACACATATACATGCATACAAGCACGTATATCTATTTTACATTGTGAAGGTATATAAAAATGTACATACATGTGTGTATTTTTCTATATGTGTCTGTATTGTGTGTGTGTGTGTGTAAGCGTATGTGTGTGTGTGTGTGTGTGTGTGTGTGTGTGTGTGTGTGTGGTGTGGGTTTAATTATAAGCATGTAGGCGTTAAATTTTCAGATTTTGAAATCAGAAAAAAAATTTTTTTTCTAATGAGGTCATAGTTCATTTAAAGAGCCAATTAGAGCACGCACGTAATTATATCGGTCGGGTCGTCGATAAGATTTCCTCTCGTTAACGATTTTAATCTATTAATTATTACTAATAACGANGACGATGATGAG